TCTGAGCTGTGTTTCCTGTCTCCTTGATTCTCGGTGTTGGTGCTTCTTGCCTTTGGTTTCCTTCTGCGACAGTGGTAGCACGGACTCTAAAGAAGAGGCCAGGGCATTAAATCAGGTCTCTGAGGGCCCTTCTGTCTCCAAAAGTGTATGATTCTGTGAGGATTTAGGAGTAACATCAGGTGGATAAAGGCTTTTATGTTCTAATTAGCTTCACTAACGATAAAATAAATGGTCAGTTTTTTCTGACCTGGCACCCTCTTCTTTTAAACTTCACAAAATTGTTCCTCACCCTGGGAATATGAATATTTTCCAAGTTAGATATGAACATATATAAACAGCTTCAGATTTTTTTAAAAGAGTCTAAGATTTCATTTTGTAATTTTGTTCTATGCATTTTCTATTGTGCTATATTTTGAGATAAAGTTTTATTTAAAAGTCTAGGACTTTATGGGAATTGAACTTCCCTTAAAGACCTGTCTCAAGGTGCAGAAGTCACAAACTCAAATGCCTTTAGGATCTAGGATGGAGGTTGGCAAACGTTTTCTGTAAAGGAACAGATAGTAAATATTTCAGGCTTTTGAGCCACACAGCCTCTGTTGCAACTACCCAGCTCTGCCCAGCAGCACGAAAGCAGCCATGGGTCACACGTAAACTGAGGGCGTGGCTGTGTACCAATAAAACTTTACTTACAAAGATAGGTGTAATTTGCTGACCCCTGGCGTAGGAAGGTTATGAAGCAACTTTAGGGGGCTATATGTGTGGTACCGTAAAGTAGTAGGGAATGTAGAGAATTGTGAAGTGCCCACCTAAAGACATTTAAATTACAAGCAAAACCAACACAAAGGTGCTGTGCATACCCAATCGAATTTAATCAGAGCACTGCCAGCCACGTGTTTGCACCCTTTGCTGGGGAAATATCAGATTGGCAGCAGGTCTTGTGAGATTTCCTTCCAGAGTCCTTTTCACTCATTAGTATCTTTAATATCCTAGCTTCCGAGCTTCTAATGTTAGCATTACTTACAGACTTTCTAGTAGGCATTTGGTAGTCCCACATCTGAGAGATTTGAGAATTTCTGGGTTAAGATGATGTTTATCATGGGAAAAGTAGTAAATCCTACTTATAATATGACATGGTCAGTTGGATGTCTGCTATTTGCATCCATCCACTCTGAAGCATTTCAGGATTGAGCTAAAGCATGTAGGAAGCTTCCAAGAGGGTGGATTAGAGATCTGTGACTTTTTGTTCTTTAGGAACAACTTTGAATACACCCTAGAAGCGTCCAAATCGCTCCGACAGAAGCCGGGAGACAACACTATGACCTACCTGAACAAAGGCCAGTTCTACCCCGTCACCCTGAAGGAAGTGAGCAGCAGCGAGGGAATCCACCACCCCATCAGCAAAGTTCGAGTAAGTTCTGCTCGCTTTTCTCTGGGAAAGCTGGTCAGAGCTTACTATTTCCAGGTCTGAAGCAGAGCTAAACGAAGATCTGAAATTGCAGTTTTAGGGCTTGACTGTAAAATCTGACACCTAAATAAGTTTTCCAGAAGATACTCACCCTTTAGTGTGTTTACGTTGTGATGGCTTCTCTTTCGTAGAGTGTGATCATGGTGGTTTTTGCTGAAGACAAAAGCAGAGAAGACCAGTTGAGGCACTGGAAATACTGGCATTCCCGGCAGCACACAGCTAAACAAAGATGCATTGACATAGGTAAGCAGCTCTGAAGCCCGCTTTTATTCCCAGAGGTGCGAGCGTGCAGTTGTCTGAATCCAGCTATTTTTGGCAGTGATGAGCTTCCTGCCGAAAGCATTTGAATTTTTATGCCAGCTACTGATCTGTTCCCCACACTGTCCTTGGCCTCCTGGAATCAGTGCTCTGAACATTACTTCCTTCATAAGGACATGTGCCCCATGCAGTGGCTTTCCGTATGACACTGGGGCCAGAAGCTGTATGGCCAGCTCTCATGAGACTGCCTTGCTTTTTGGTCTGCAAATTTTTTGAGGTGTAATGTCTTCTTTAAGAGCTTCTGATTATTTGGAGATGAAATAAGGTGGAGGAAAAAGACAAATCAATGAGTGAAAGAAAATACTGCTGTCAGGCAGCTGCCTCGCAGTCTTCCCCCGTTACGTGCTGAACTGCATTGCTAGGCTCCTCTGTGCGTAGACCCCAAGAGTCATCGCTGGCAGTGTAGCTGGAGACCTGTGCAAATCCGTATTTACTGAAGGAGCTTTATGAAAACCGCTGATCTTGCTGTGCATATAATTTTCGTGTAAAACCATTAGCTCTGTCACAAGATGGCTCTTAATCTTAGTGTTACTTCTTTTCTTTGCCTTTTGTAATGTTCACCTTCTCGTTTTAGAAGAATTAAAAGAACTGAGTTCTAATCTTGGCTCTTGGGACGACTTTTGTGACCTTGGGACAGTTATTTAAACTTTTCAGACCTAAATACCTTAATTTTGACATAAGGGGATAAAATTAAATATACCCAAGCTTGCCTCCATTACAAAAATTCTTTTTCTTCATTTTTTTGAACTTCTTTCAACCCAACAAAATGTTAATTTAACTTCTCCAGAGGTGATAATATGAAAATCTGAATCTTACTTTGAACTGCTGTAATCGCATGTTGGAACCAGAAATCACTAATTTCTTTTTGTTTTTTCATCGCTCATATAGCTGACTATAAAGAAAGCTTCAACACCATCAGCAACATTGAGGAGATTGCTTATAATGCCATTTCCTTCACCTGGGACATCAATGACGAAGCAAAGGTAGGTGATGAAGTTCAGGGACTCCTGAATTCTCAGCGATTTGAGGAGAAGTGGGAGGCACTTGATTTGACGACTGATGTTTGTTAAGGAATAAGGGGAATCAACTGGGCTAAGCAGATAGGTTGTAGCCGTAAGTCATGAAGTGCGTGAAAATGGGACAGGGCTTCGGGAGAAGTGGCTCTTACCTCCCAGCTTCTTCCTGTTTATCAGAGCCAGCTGGATTCTTTACTTGCTCTCTTTTCATTCTTTCACATTTTCTGAAAGTACAGCTTCTTCCCAGATGTTACAAAACTGTCCTCCTCCCCTTACCACCCTCTCCTTCCTCCAGAAAGGCAGTTTCGGTTGACGCAGTTGCACCTGTGCAGCGCAGGAGAGCCAGCGGGGCGGCCGGCCGCTGCGGGTGGGAGCCTGCCCTGCTCGCTGTCTGCCCTTGAGCCGCGCTCCCTGCACTGGGCTTCATTTCCTCCTTTGCGAAGTGGAGTTAGTCCTGTCTCCTCCCTCCGGCAGGCATGTTGGAAGGATGTTGAAACAATGCCTATGGAGCCATGGGAGTTCCTGCAGAAAGGCCCTTAAGGACAAGTTACCCTCAGCTTCCTGTCGTTACCCTGTAAACACAGCTCGTTTAAGGTGCTTCTCTCTGGGCTTTCACCGTGAAGAGCTGCCTGCCATTTGGATGGTCGCTTGGGTGGTCCTCATTGGAGCTTTCAGTACCTTTTAGGAAAAATGAAGCATACTCTTGAGTCATATGCCCTTCCCACAGCATTCTTCCCTTTTAGGATAATCCTTCTCTTTACCAAATTACTAGAGTTCTGGTATTTTTTTTTCTTTGGATTAGTTTAAAAATGGAAGTTCAGGGAACACAATAGAAACATTAATTTTTGGACAGGTGTTAAAATGAGATGGATCTTTCGTGTTTGTTGTAATGTTAGGAATACTTTTCTCTCTCAAGGACCAGGTACAAAATGATCATCACTTTTCTGGCCTTTTCAACCTCTCTTTTTTATTTATTCAACAGAATTTAGCAATTATGGAAAAAGACTGCATTAGGCGCTAAGTATTGCACAATTTCATTTTTTACTGCATAGGATTGCTTTTAAAAATCATGACTGGATTCTTGAGAACCATGTTGAGTTTGTATCATAATTGCTTTCCTTTCCTATCGTGGTCGTCATGTCTGAGGCACAAGTGTGTCTGTAAGACTGCGGGGTGCAGTAAACGGGGTCCACCAGTCTATTGGGAAGCTTCAGTTAGTGTAGTTGCATTCTGGTTGTCCTGCCGACCACCTGGATCCTATGCAAATGTCCTGAGGCTGCTTAGTCCAGAGTTTGGTGCTTGATTAAACAAGGAATTCACTACAGAGGAGCTACTAGGAGGAAATGTTTACTTTTCGTTTATATAATTGTCGTTACAGTTATTTTGAAATTAAATATGATAGTAGGACTCTGTGTGCTAGCTGCTAACAGCAGCCTATAAGAAGAGCTGGCCCTGTGCCCTCCAGGTGCTTCTGTTCTTAAAGTAAACTTGAGAAATGCTTCCTATTTGCCATTAGGGACTAATTGGGAACTTGTGGAGGAGGTGATTGGGAGCATGAGTCCTGAGTTCACTTTCCTGGCTTACCTGTGGCCTTTGGTCGGCCCCGTAGCTCACTAGCTCAATTTTCCCTCTTTATTCCCTAGGAAAAGAGAAAGGCTGCAGTGGCCAGTTCTCTTCTCTGTTGGCGTGTCAGCGGGATTGATAAGAGCTTGTCAGAGTGCGTGGAGATCTGGGCGGAAGGGCCCTGCATATGGGCTGGGTGCTTTGTTTGTTTGATGTGTCACTCTTCAGGGTGGGATTAATGAAAGCCAAGATGACAGTAGGGATAATGACTAGTTGTATTCTGAAGGCCTTCAGCATTTTGTATTAAGGAGAAATATTGTTGGAGGCGTGTCCCAAGTAGCCTTAACAGCATTGTTAATTGATGTAGGTAAATGCAGTTTCATTTCCCCTTCCAGACCCCCAGCGTGGACTTGGTTTCTAAGCCTTCATCTGCTACTAGGTGGGGTTGTGCCATTTCTTAGTGAGGCTGCTCCCTTTTGAAGCTGATATCAGGCATCAACTTCAAGCCTGTGTTGGAATTAAGTATCTAGATATTTTGTTTTCCCTGCCCAAGTCGATGTTTTCTGTTTTTACACTTAAAGTAATTGATGCCCCGGGGCAGCTGGAGTGAACAAATGTGCATGCAGAACCCTGTGTAGATTTTTTTTTTTTACTTCTTTTTCCAAAAGTATTTACCTTCTTTGCCCGCTTTCTTGTTCTAATTTAGGATACATTTGTTGATTCTTAATTCTGGTTCGTTCTCCCCCACAAACAAAAGGGTTTATTGGAGATATGTGGTATTCCCTTCTCCCCCCTGACACTTTTGTTTTTTGAGATATCTAATATGCCCTGTTGGCCATGCCAGGGTGAGTAAGACCAGAATTCTGGCCTGTGTCACCATCTGAATCTTCCCTGTAGCTTCTGCTGCTGGCTTGGGAGGTGGCTATGTTTTCAGGACATACCGGGTTGAATCTTGAATGCCTTGGCTTATGTTTGAAGTTGGGAAAATCCCTGTCCAGTCCAGACTCATCTTACACGGTCCCCATGCACACTCTGTTCATCAGCAGTGTCATACACCTGCTTGACAATGGGAAGTTGAAGAAGTTAGGGAACTTGTGAAAAAGCACTAATTTCAAAGTGTCAGGGGAGAAGGAAGTTGCTTTGAAAGCAGAAATATCTTAGAAACACTCCCCCAAGCAGTATTCCTCTCTGCTGTGTAGACCCATTTCATTCATTTCTCTTTACTCTGCACAAAAGTAGGTTTGTTTGGGCAGTCAGGCATCTTTTAGAGTCGGAAATCTCTGGACAAGTTAAAGTGCAGAATTCATTGTGAAATGTTTACAGATGTTCACATCTCATTGTGAAATAATGTAATCAGATTTCTTCCCTCCTGATGTACAGATGAGATCAGCTGCTTGAGATAACTTTGGCAGGGAGAAGGAACAGTTACCTTTGAAACATTAAAAGCTGGCGCTCTTGTGAGGTGCTGACTTTAGAATATGTACGATGTGAGGGCCCTGGTCACTTAGGGAAGAGAGGACTAGCAAAGGAGCAGGGAGGGGGGAGGAAGAGAAACACAGACTTGGACTCTATAAAGATTTGATGCAGCGCCAGCTGCGCACCTTTCCCACTGCTGCGGGAATTCCTCACTTTATCCAGCAGGCATCTGAGTGCCTGCTGATGTCCAAGGCGCTGTGCTGGATCCAGGCGAAAACGCTAGTATTATCGTTCAGGTATATGGTGGGTTAAATAGGCTTTTGTGGGATAGCCTGAGATCCTAAATATAACATCATGATTTCTAGGGAAAAGGGTGTTTATACCACTTTACAAATGAACTTTGGATACACAAATAATTTATAAATTGGGGTTCTCTCTTCTACTTCAGTTTCAGTATTTCCAAAACTAAGTGAGTTATCTGGATAGGCTGCACATCTTGGCCTAGGGTTTAATTTCTTCCTTTAATTGTAAATCTAAGAGTTTACAACAACATTAAGATTTGGTTAGTGGTATGAAGTAAGGGCCTCTCAAAGTCTGAAGATCTAAAATAAATAGAGGAAAAAGAAGTTAAGGAGAGAGAATTAACTTCTTTGAATGCTTGTTCTGTGCTAGGCAGTGTGCTCAGGTGCCCCCCTGTGTTCACCCTTAACAAGGCAGTGCTACCTGCTCAGTACCATGAAAAAGTACTTAGTCCTCAGATGAGTATGTGTTTGCTTGTTGGTCATCGAAGTGGGGCCACTTGATGGACAGGAATCTAGACCTTGAAATGGATACGAAGTGTTCTTGACAGGGGAGAATATTTTAAAGTGTCAGAATTCTTCCGCTAGAGTGGCATTCTGGACTCGCTGGTCTGAGCTCCCGTGGAAGAACGCGTTTGCTCGCGGAAGTAATTTCTGCTGATTGTTGGATAAGTGATGTTAACTACAGAGGAGTGGACATTGTAAAGTAAAAACTGCTGTATTGGAACGGAATGAAAACTGGGCTGGCAAACTCCGGGGAGCCCTGTACGGCCGGGGAACACCGATAGGAAGGGGCATCTGTCGATGGTGTAGCGACATATTTGATTGTCGCTAGTCAGGCAGTGTGGCAAGTAGGAAAACAGCTACAGTGCAGAGCAAAGCTCAAGATGTCTTTGATTGGCTCTGAGAGCTGTGACCTCCAGGAGTGCTAAGCAGACCTTTTAAAGATGTAAGGAACCCCAGGGATACAAAACATCTAACATGTTTTTTCCAGTAGTGACTTCTAAATCCTTATACTACAAGGTGGACGGGAGTCAGCTACCATTCACACATTTCATTTTTTAAATATTAACAGCAAAGGCCTTCCCGTCAGACATGCACCAAGTCCTGCTGGAGTAAGCAGTGTCAGAGAAGTTAGATGTGGAGTCTCATTTTATTTTACTGTGTTGTCCATCCACGGCTTAAAACAGCCTGCAGGTGTGGGCGTTTCTCCTGTGGTGCCGCTTGGAACCTGCCTGCTTTTTCTGTCTCCACCAGACCTTGAGAAGGAAGCACTGTGTTTCAGTCTGTGATCGGATTTCTCGAAGACAGATGGAACGGCATCTTTTCCTTGATGGCATGATCTTATCTCCGCGGGTGACAGAGCCAATTTCAACACACCTTTTTTCTCTTCGTGGTTCAATTCTCTTACATTTTTTCCTGCAGTGTGGTGCCTTGGCCTGTGGAGAAGGGAAAGGTGCTGTCAGACAGGACAAAATCAGAGCATCTCATTCCCTAGAGGAAAAGTCCTGTCAGTGGGAGCTCTTGGTGCTTTTACTTTTAATTATAATCTCTCAGCTCTAAGAGGGAACTTTAAGGCATTCTGAAGGCTTGTCCTTCCGAGCCAAGTGTTTTATGTGTCATGGAGAGGCTCATGTTACAAAAATAAAGAGGATTAAATAGAATGTGGAGGCCAACCAGAGCCGAGGTGCTCTACCACGGGGACTGTGTTTGGATGGAGCATCGGTATCTTTCCCTCTTGTCTCCTTGTCTCAGCAAAAATGTGTGGAGTTCCTGGTGAGGGATTATTGAGGCCCGTGGAGTTCGTCCTGCCCGAGGGGTGTAACCTGTTCTGGTAACTGGAACCTAAGATGTTTTGTGTGTGCTTGTGGGATGCAGGTTTATGAGTTTAATAACAGTTGATTGTTTTGTCTAAGCATAATATTTGGAATTCATTGTGAGAGTAATTTCAAATTTGTTTGGACTGAGCGTATGGCTTCATTTATAGGGATTCCAATCTCGTGAGGCATCACTCAAGTGCTCCTTTAAAGTAAGGTGTTGCCACCTTGGGTCACAGTAAGCTGGGGCAGGTTTGGTTCGTTTCACAACTTTAAATTTCCAGTGTGAATGGGAGGGAGGAGGGAGAGAAGTGAGTCAGATCTCTTACTTGCAATTGCAATTAAAGGTAGGCAGGAGATTTAAAAGAAAAGTGTATACTCCCTGGCCTAAATAGCAAAAAGCAGCCAGGAAGCATTGTTGCTTTTAAAACAAAGGACGGGAGACTTTTCCAGCCCGGACAGAGGCAGGCTCCCTCGACGGCACTGGATTCTGCTAGTGTCTGTCCTTAGAAGCCAAGGGAAGCTCTCGGTAGCTCTGCAGGCTTCTGAATTCACGTTCATTTGGCTCCAGGGGTTTCCTTTTATGCAGTTTAAAAATACATATTTATCAAAATAAAAAATAAATTTTTGAGGTGCCAGAAGGGCAGTCACATTCCTTTATAGGGAATGAATAGTCTTTAGAGTTATAGTTTGATCAGAATTGGAAACACAAGAAATTTTTCTTGGTTGGAAATTTGTGGAGAATGCCTTTAATCAGCTGATACGGAATAAGGTCTTTCCTCGGCGACTGGAAAGTTTGCTTTGAAGAAACCGTCCTCGGGCTAACTGTGGGGGAGGTTTCTCCTTGGCACGCCGTCCTCTGCTGTTTTATAGTGCAGTTTGTTGGCCTTTGGCCTGGAAGCCTTTCACGGAGTGTCCTGTAGTGTCTGGGCAGGAGTTCCGTCCAGATGCCGAATGAAACGCACTGAATCCCGGTGGGACTTCAGGCCGCAGGGAACAATAGCGCGCATTTATCGGAGCGCATGCCCGAGGGGCAGGGCCAAGTGCACCATCTTTCTCATCGGGCAGGGAGACACTTGGCAGCTGAAGAAAGCTCCGGTCTGGTGGTGGAACCTGTGTCTTGTGGAACGGGTTTGAAGCACCGTGTCTGTTTAGCCACCATTTGAGCTGTCGCTTGAATTCGTTTTTCGTTCTTCTTTTGGGGTCAGATTGTCCCCTCCCTCCACCCTGCCCTGTCAGGGAACAATAAGCGTCTCTGTAGAACTTTCTTTTCTGACAACTTGTCACCTTAACCCTCCTTTTCGTAGGTCCTTCCTGGAAATTCCGCCTAAAGTGGTTTTCTAAATCTGTCATTTCAGCCAGTTTTGCTCCTTGTGAGCTCACTCAGAGAGCTTTGACCCTGACCTGACATTAGTAGTAGTAACTGAATTGACCCGGAATAGAGACTTCAAGGCCTTGGAGTTCCATTTTCTTTTGACATTAGATCTTCTTTATGCAAGACTCCAAATCCTTTATTAAATATAAGCAAATTCTCTACATTAATTACTCATTTAGGGACTTTTTCTTTAGCTTTTTTTAAGGTGGAAAATATCTTCTAATTAGAAATTTGGATTGGAAGTTAGCTTGCCCACCAACTCTCCCCTCACGACCCTTGTGCGTACCTGTCCTATTCTGTACCCAGACCTGCTGGAATGTGGTCTGTGTTTGCCTTGTGTCACACCTGCATCCAGTTCTGCATATTTCAGAACAAATATTCTACTTATTTGAGACAGCAGGTGCCAAACCACTGTATCTGCCATGTGGCCTTAAGTTCTACCAGGTCCTGCTTATAGGATATGACAGAGGGAAGGTAGTATGCAGGTGCCTCCAGAATGTCTCTCTCTCCGTCTTTGTGTTGGTGACGTTTTCCCTGGCTCTCTGCGGCCTGTGCAGAAACTACAGCTGCCGTGTGGGCGCTGTGGGCAGGCAGCCCTGTGGCAAGAGTACGGGCGATGACTAGGTCCTTGTTTTTCCTCCAGGGAAACGCCCCACGCAGACATGAGAAGATTTCAGGTCAGTGCTCTGCTCTTCCCACATCCCCCTCCTCCCTTCCCCAGCCTTCCAGTTCTTTCTCTTTTTTCTTGATGGCCATCTGATAGTCTGAGGAATAACACAAGTACTAGTTACACATTTGAAGGCTTTTAGTTCCTGCTGGTATCATTCCGTGGAGGGGTTTTTTAATCCCCTCGCATCTTCAGAGGGCGGGCAAGTCTGCCTTTCCCAGGACTATCTGACGGGTCGGCAGTGGGACTGGATTCCGTTTCTGAGTCTATGACTCAGTCTCTGATCCCTTCTTGGGCTTAATTAATTGGGAGAACTGCATGGCTGATAGAGAACTCAGAGAATCATGGTTGGTCTGGCTTGGGGTTCTTTTCTTTGGTTGGGGGGAGGAATTTTGATTAGGATTAAGTGTCCGCTATACAATGTTCAGTGAACGTTCCTGTCTAATTAGACTTTAGCCAAGAATTGGACCTTAATTTCTTAGTTTAAACTCTTTCCCACTCCATTTGCTTCCACTGACATTTATAACTTGATATAAACATATTGGAAAAATGGTGATTTTATTCTCTTGAATTAGTGCTGTTGGATTTGAGGTGAGAATAAATTACTTTATTGACCTCACATTCTAATTTCATTTGTCAGGAGGTTTCTAACTAAAAGAGCTACTTAGAAAAGTTTTAGAGTGACCTTTTTGACTGATATGGAAGAGAGTTAAATTAAAATTTGTTCTAGGGTTTCTACTTTCAATTTAGTAGGTCAGTTACATTCTAGGAATGAAATTATGGATATTGTATCTGTGTTTGACTAAGTTGGATTTTAGTACTAGAATAGGTTACCATGAGAAAGGCTCCCGGGGGCAGCTGGCTGGATGTAAGATGGCTGCGGCTGTCTCTCATGGGGCCGTGTCATCAGCTAAATCTTGTGACTTACATGAAGTCAGATAGGAACTTAGCACAGACTCCCTATTTGATGTGGAATATAAGGACCTTTAATTTCATGTGTCATGATCAAAAAAAACAACCTTCTGCTTCAGCCGTCGGAGGTCACTCTTTTCTCTGTTCTGCTTCACGGAAACATCTTTCCATCAGGTGCTCCTTCAGCTTTCTGCGCTTCCTTGCAGCGGTGTGGTTTCGAGAACATTGACTCTGGAGCAGGAGACGTGGCTCCTGGCTTGGTCTTTGTCATCTATTTACTGTGTGCCTTTTACGGTCTGTACCTTCCGAGGCTGAGCCTCAGCCACAACTGGACACTCTCTCTCTTAAGTTAAAAGGTATTGAGAAGCCAGACTCTGAACCATATGATGCTCGTGTTGAAGGTAAATGTTTGTAGGGTACACGACAAGGATAAGTGCATTGCTGGAATGTAAAATATTTTTCAGTTACCAACTTTCTGAAGCATTAAGCACTTTTCTTTTTTTTTCTTCCTCCTAACAGATCTTTTCTCTTTCCTTGCTTATGTTTACCAGGCAGTTAGAACTCGAGCTATCTAATTGTGAATCATAATACACAAATGACAATATATAGTAGTGACACACGTAATCGGGCCTGCTCTCAGCTCTGTATGCTGATACTTTCCCAAAGTCTGCTCTGTGTAATCTGATTAGCAAGAGCAAAACACCATACTCCCTAGAAGGGTTTTTTTCCTGTCATTATTGACCAGTTTAACTCATATCTAACATCCTTCCAGGAAATTCTGTGAACAATAATTAATCTCTTCTAACTATGTGAAAGAATTGGCTTAAGAAGTCATGTTGCAAAGACTTTGTTAGCTGTACGTTCATTCACTCATCGAATTATTCATTGTCCTTCTCTATGTAAGCACTTTGAAGGAATGAAAAAATGATTCAAGCATAAAGCCTGTCTTCGAAAGAGATTTCACTCTCTATGCAATGATACAGGTCATACGTGAGGTTAAAAAATGCTCCTCAGATTTCCAGGGAAGAAGGGACCCAGAGAAGGCGCTGTGGAAGAGAGCACTGGATGCGATTCTTTGAAAGGTAGGACCTGCAGCATAGTTTCGCAAAGGCTGTTCAATTGGACCTTTTTTCTTTTTCCTTATTTTTTCCTGTGCAGAGTAGCTGTTGAGAATTTAAGTGGAAAAGAGGCAGCTGGAACAGTTTAGTCTACAGAGTCTTTGACGTTCGAGGCCAGGCATCGTGTGGTGCAGGAGACAGCAGCTGGGCTTGGCTCCCGCACGCTTGAATCTCAGGAAGTTGTAGACGTCTCACACCTGTCCACGTGATGTGGAGCTACGAGCGAAGTGATGATGTCTTTAATTATCAGATATAAAATTGTTAGGTCCCTGCACTTTCTGTAACAGAAAAATGGTCACTATAGATAATGTCTTAAAGTATAAAAATGAATAGATCAATAGAATATTACTACGTCACGGCTCATTGTGTGGATTTATCTCTGCCCTAGAACTTGACTTAAATCTCTGTGTATGTCACTCAGCCCCTAAATACCATCATCTTTTCCAGATTAATGGAGGGGGGTATATATATATATATGTATGTGTGTAGTCAATTTAAGTATTCATTCAACAAGTTTTTATTTAATGTCCAGTATGTATAAAAAGCTGTTTGGTATTCTGGGGTCTGCAGGGTGACCTCGGAGTTCCAATCTGCTTGCAGGAAAGACGTGAACACAAATAACCTGTGACCTTGGGCAGCAAGTTACATAACCTCTAAGCCTTGGTTTCTTCATCTGGGACGTGGGGTCAGGATACTACCAATTTCAGAGGGGGTTTTGAGGGCCAAAGAGTCAGGTCCGTGGTAAGAATGCTCAGTGTAGCTCAGGTGTCAGAGCAGCGTGTAGTTTTATTGGGCTCGAGTCTAGGGATTTAGGGTCGTTCATTCAGTGAGCATGTATTTCTTATTGGCCAGGCACTGCCAGGGTGTTCTGGGAATGTAAGAGGAGTGAGACATATCCAGTTCTCAGGAGACTCAAAATCTGGTGGGGGAGGTTGCCCCTGTAGTAAGTATGGTGATGGAAAAGCACAAAGGATAGAAGTCTCCTAGAGCAGGAGCAGAGACGTCCCTCGAGGTGACACCTGAGAGAGTCCTAAAAGGATAGTAAGACCTGGCGGATTCAGAGTCCAGATGGGCCTGTGTCCTTGATGTGTGTGAGTGCAGAGCTGAAAGTCCTGGAGCCTGACACGTGAGGCAGGCCGTCGAGGGAGGCGGCAGGGAGCAGACCCTGAAGGCCCGAGCGTGCCCCAGGAAGGAGCTGGAGCCGCCCCCGGGGGTCTGGACCAGGTATACTCGGGTGGAGTGTCATTGAGGATTTCTAGTCCTGTGTGTTCAGTTCAGTGATAAGACGGCAGAACTGTGAGCGTGCTCTGGATGCCAGTTGTTGCCAGGAGGCTTCAGTGCCGGTGTCCGTTCTGAGGGGTCGGGTCTGAGCCAGGTCAAGGCCAGGTGAGTTCTTGGGTGCTGTGCGGTCAAACATTTTGCATCCATTTGAGTAGAGGAGTATTTCTCAAAGTAGGATCTAGGTATGCATTTAGGGGTTCAGCAACTTTTTTCTCTTTTAGAAAGGATACATATATTATTCACGTTTGAGAAATACTGCTGTAGGTGGTGGAAAATATGGCTGGAAAAATAGACTGACGTCACATAAAGCATCTTGAATGCTAAGGAATTTAGTTTTTGTTACATAGATAGTGGTGAGCTATTGAAGATTTTTGAGGAAGAGCAAGTGGCTGGTTCTGCAGTGATATGTTAGATATATTAGGATTAGGCAATTGCCCAGTGTCAGCGAGGCAGTCTCTCCTCATTTCCTTACCTTATTTGTGGCCATTTTATGTTCAGAGGACCCTCTACCAGAAGTTGGAAGAAGGAAGGGTTAATTTGTGTAAATTTATATTAGCATTTTTTGTCGAGTGTTTTTGTTTATTTTTTGTTTTGGGCGGGCACTGTTGTGTGTATTTAAAGTTTTGTGAGGATTTGAAACTTGTCAAATTAAGATTTGAGGTAATACGTAGATTTTTGTATACCCATGGTTCTGCTGTCGCTCATTACCAGCGTTTGATTCAGTACCGTTTAGTAATAGCCATTGGGAGAAATACAAAAATATGTACTAAATCCTGGAAGCAACTTAAAAAGTGAGTAACGCATAATCCCTGCCCTCAAGGGACTTAGAGTTCTTATAATCGCAGTGAGACAGTGACACAGTGTCAGAGGTGGCGTGTCCACAGTGCTCATTTATTCCTTTCCCTGACCTGGGTGACAAGTGGAGACAGGGCTCTCTAGCTGACGTAGATGCTCATCGTCTGGCCAAAAGGGGCAGGAGGAGGGGAGGAGGAAAAAGCCACTTGTTAGAACTTGACGAGTGGCAGACGGGGTTGTAATTCTATTTGGGTGGATTCGGGAGTGCTTCTCCGAGAAGTTGTATCAGTTGGTACTAGGTCTTTACTGATCAGAGAGATGTCAGTAGAGAATGGAATAACGGTTATTTTAAAATTGAGGGGCAGAGAAAATAAAGATCCCCAAAGTATAAAAATTCCTGCAGAGGAGGAGTGAAACTAGAACGGGAGTTGGGAGCCGCAGTGGAGAGCGGGCTCCTTCCTCAGACTGCGGGGGGCCGCTGGGCTGCGTGTGTCTCTGAGCACTTCAACGCCCAGTCACCCAGGCGGCGGCGCGTGCTGAGCTCCCGTGACCTCGCTGACTCTCGGGGGCACGTACTTCGTTACTCCGTTTTAGTTTAAAAATCACATCCCTTAAAAAGAAAACTTCATCCCTTTAAAGAAACCTAATTAAAACAAAAACTTTATCCAAACTGTCATAAGGGCGGTCCATACTGTTCATTAGTGGGTCTAGAGGTTCACGTTTTGAAATTTTTTTATTCCATTCATTGAGAAAACCACATTATGAAAGTCGTAAGGAGATTATTTCCATCATTACATGCAAAATTCTACCCAGATCTCTCAGTGGGAAAAAAATTAGGACTATATTATTTGGACGTCAAGTTCTTGTACATGAATAGTTATCGAATGAGTATTACTGTCACTGTGGTAAATTTTGTAAAAGGAAAAAAAGCTTTTTTGTTAGTTCATGAAAAATATCAACATAGTCGAGTACTTAAGTTAGTTTTCTCATTTAGCTTCTGACTCAACTACTTATAATTTTTGTAACTTTGATGAATTCCAGGTGCTTTCTTAACACTTTCCTTCTGTGAATTAGGTAGGTGAAAAATATTTTTATGATTTCTCCCCACAAATTAGATGCCCTTGTTAGAGCTCACATGTCTGACTGCTCTTTAGACGAGGCAGTCAGCAGGTTTTCCCGACATGGAGCCTCGGCGTGTGGTGTTGATGGTAAAGGCCTGGAAGAGCAGGTGGGCTGGGGGTCTGTACCGTCTGTTCTCAGTTGCTGTCACTTTGCCGGCTGGGAAGTGAACCTCTGATGGCGGCCTGTGTTCTGAGCCTTCTGCTTCCTTGGTCTTTCTCCTCTTCTTTTCCCCTTTGAGGAGCAGCGGTGGAGAAAGCAGCCAGCTGTGTGAGCAGCATTGTGTGGCTGCCGTGATGCTTCCTGGAAAAATCACTATAAATTAGTTCAAGATCTGATTTCTTGTTTGTTCTGTTCTTGTAAGCATTTAGAATAAAAAAAAATCTATGCAAGTTAATCCTTTGATAGTGTAAATCACTTTATTTTGTTGTTTTCCTCTCATTTTCAAGCTGAGGTTTGAAAACAAAATTACGTCTTTTGAAAAGTTCGAAGTGCATGAATCCTCAGCCAAGAATGAGGAACTGTCTTAGAAAAATGGGCTGGAAACTTAAAAAGGAATCTTGCAGAGCATCTTCGACCTGTTTTGCAGTTTATTTTTGTGGTTAGTTTTTCTTTTCTAGTAATTTTGGGTGGGAACATGAGTTGCTCATCTTTTGAGACTTAGGCTCCAGTTATTTGAATAAAATCAAACTTCTCCTCAAAATCAGTGCAGGGAAGTATGAAAATAGAAAAAAAGGTCATCGTTTGAGTTCTTAAAGATCTTTACATCATTCTAGAGAAGAAAGGTCATGTCTCATTCAGCCTACTCTCAGACTTCAGAAATAAGTCTTTTTAAGTGTGTGCGCACTGGCACACACGTGCACACGCATGTATTTTACAGAAGAGGAGTTAGATGTCTAATAATCCGTCTTACTTTTTACGTCTTTCCCACCCTGTGTAGGAGATATTGGAGTTTTTCTGCACTCACATTGAAGAAAATATTTCTCCGCATGGTGAAAATGGTCTGAACGTTTGTTTTATCCACATTTGGGTGACTTGGCCTATGGTGCTGCTGGTTCAGGGGGTTACCCATTAGGTAGAACCAATCCCAAGTGTCAACGCCCTGAGGACCAGCACACGCCAGTCTTGTTGCTGCCCCAGGACCCAGAGGCAAGGCCTGCCTCGTGTTCTGCGCTTGCCCTCGCGCCTGTTCTGGGCGCTGCTGATTAGGATTGTCACACTCCTAAACAAAGATTCCTACATGCTGAGCTTCTCCCTCAAGACTTACCCTGGTCCACACTGTGAGTGTGGGTTGTGTTGATCCAGAGCGTGGTTCCATGGGTGAATGACACATTGGCGAGAAGTCCGCACTGGGTGTCTTCTCAGGAAGTCACTGATGTGGAACATGGAAATAGTGAATTCCAAAAGGGAGATAATGCTCCCTCCTCGTGTACCAGCTGTGATGACGTAAGGGTGAATTACTGTCCCGGCGGTTTAGAGAATAGCTCAGATCAGGGCGAGTCAACTGCAGCCCTCGGGCCGGCCGGCCAGCTGCCTGTTCATGTATGAAGTAAAGCTTTATTGAAACACCGGCACACCCGTTTGTTCACTTAGTGTCTGTGGCTGCTTTTGTACTGTTACTGCAGAGCTGGGTAGTTGCATGTGGCCCACAAAGGCTAAAAAGGCCCCTTTACAGAAGAAGTCACCAGACTCCTGGTTTAGAGAAACACATGAGAGAGATTCTATGTGTCTGTGTTGTACTTCCACTTAACGTTTTTATTCTCTACTGCCTCTGCATGTTCCTTCTTTTGTAGTAACAGGAGTTAAGCATGAGCTGTGCTCCAGGCAGCAGGAGCACAAAGGGCTGGCTGAGCGTCTCTGTCCCCGGGAGCTGGCAGCTCCGTGGGGATGACACCAGATGAGCCTTGCACTGTGGTTCACAGCAATGCTTACTCCTCCCTCTGAATACACTTCATCTGCAGGCGCCAGCCCCTGTGAAGATCAAACGTTACATGAGGAATAAACATAAGAAGTAGAGTTTGATAGGTTTTTCTGGTCCCTATCTTACGAACTATGAGTTCTTGAGGATTTACACGACCTTTTTGAATAGCAAGGTGGAGCAGATGCTTTAGTCTTTATCTTTCTGTTGATTAAATGAATATTCTTCTTACTTGATAGGGCTGTACCTCTGTAAAAATGTTTTAATTAAAAACATCTGATGAGATGTTAGCTCAGGGCCAATCTTCCTAAAAAAAAAAAAAAAAAAAACCCCACAAAACCTGGGGGGAAAAATCTGAAGAGATACATATAAATATGTGTAAGAATATCTGAACTCCTTAAAGAAGGGGAACCATATATTGGGGCTTGTTTTAGTAACCTGAGAGTTTTGGAGCCTAAGCAGAACTTTTGTTGATCCAAGTGTGTAGGTTTATAGATTAGTCCCTTGACAGAAGTGGTTTTTATCCCGGCTGATGACTAGAATTACCTGGGGAGCGCCTAAGAAAAGTCCTAGTGTCTGGGTCACCCCCTCCGGCCAAGGAGAGCAGAGCCTCTCAGTGTGGCCCTGCTGTCTCCAGGAGGGCCTGACGCCCCCGGGTGATTCTAAGTGGGTCAGTCGGGTGAGGCGCTCAGGTGCCCAGGAGTGCTGGAGCTCCTGGCCCACGCTGTGGGGACCACTGCTTATACGATTCTGAATTTTATATAAGTAGTTAGGATGATTACTTTAAATGGCAGCCTTACATGATAGCTTCTGAAATAATATGATTTGTAAAAAGTCGGTTGATAAGTGCATGACACAGAATCACCGTCACTGGTACGTACGGAGTAGGAATACAGGCTTCATCATCTTACGTGTAAGTGTAATCATAGGGCTCTAGAGTTAGCAGTCATCGGGAGATCCTCCAGTCAGCCCTGCAGGTGACAGTGACCCTCGCCCAGGGTCACAGCACTGAGGAGTGAGCCTGAGGCGCGTCGGTCTACAGACCAGAGCCTTTCCCGCTGCCCACGTCACCTCCTGCTGGAACAGAACAGAAGGCCTCTTGCCCCCTCGCCAGCCTTTGATTGAGCTTAAACACAGTGAGCAGATCCCCTTCAGGGCCCGTGTGTCCCCGTGACTGTCCTGCTTGTCCTTTCCAGGGACGCTGCTGCAACAGGCCGCGTCAGCGCCGCCCCGCTTTTCTCTTGCGGGTCTTGTGCCCTCTGTGCTCGTACCCGGCCCTGGCCCAGCCTGCTTCTAGTGCGCAGCTTGTCTGCTTCTGCTGGGGTGTTTGTGTGTTTATCTAGACAAGGTGGTGTTTTAATACTCAGTTGGGAATGCCGTAAACTTTCTTTGATACATTTAGGCATCTGCCTAGTTTGGAAAGAATTGATTTAAAAAAATAGGAGAATACTGTATATAAGAAAGCAATTGCAGATAATTGTGAGTAACAGTGCAGGTCGTGTCTCCGAAGGCTCTGGGTTTATCCTGATCCTGGGGTTTGGCTCCTCTGATTTCTGCTTTGAATAGAAACTTGACACTGGGAAGCGGTGGGGGGTGAGGTTTTAGGTTGGATTACCAGGAAATCCTCTTTAAAGGGAGTATCACTTTGAGTCAGAGACTTGCTGGTTGTTGAGGGTAAAGTGTGCTTTCCCTGCAGCTGTTTTGAGTTGGAGGGTGAGCCGCGTGGCCCAGAGTGAGAGAGAATAGTTCACATTTTCCATTCGGTTGTAAGGTGAAGAATACGATGGTTTGCTTTACTTTATGTGCTCAGTTGTTTGCGTGGACTACTGTCTTTCTGTCTTTCATCTGTTCCACAGACTGTCTCCTTAACTCAGATTTATGGATTATGGGTGAAGTTTTTTTTAAATATATAGAAAAAGGTATAAAGTCAAAGTGCTAAGTTTCTGTAATGGATTTGAAATTCATATGTGCCTCTTTTGGCCTGTATATCTAAGTATTGAAAAAATTAAAGCAATTTGCTTATTTACTGAAAATGGGTTAAATGGAAAGAAGAATCATAGGAGCCAAGATAAGGCAAGCCTAGATCAGGCACTGTGCCAAGTGGGGAATACGGACCCGACCTACACGTCCTTACAGTCCCGTCAGGGGAATAAACTAACAGAAAAATGGTAGGCCATTCCAGGTGGTGAAGAAAAGCCGGTGACTCGTCCAGGATAGAAAGTTGATTTGGGACAGAGGTAGCGGGTGCGGAGGGGTAGCCCTGGATCTGAGTCCCAGTCCTGTGCTTTCTGCCTTGGGGACAGTTTAGACCGTCTCTCCGGGCCTCCCCTGTAAAGGAAGGATGATACCGTCTCAGGGTTGAGGTGATGATGAGCCGTCCTGTGAGTAAAGTCAGCGCCCGGCACACGTCCTGCAGCAGTAGGCGCTCGCTGCCGTGGGCTCCACCACACGAGGCCGGTAAGTGGGACAGTCTGAGAAAGCGGGGCTCGAGCTGGCCCTGCAGAGACTGAGAGAGCAGAGAGGAGCGATGGAGGTGCAGGAGGAAGAAGGACAGGTACAGAGGTGAGGCAGGAGCGAACGTTTGAAGTGTGCTCTAGGTATGGTAGGTGGAGGGCTAATGAGGGGACGAGAGGAGAGACGACTTATAAATTTGTTAATTTGGACACATTCCGGAATCAGGCTTATTTTGATGTTTTGGTCTTTTCCTACTTAGAAACAGCATGTAGACTACAGCAGAAATAAAAACCCCGTTTCAGCATTTTGCATACCTTCTAGAGAGTGTTCTTTGTCACTGTGGTTGTAAGTTTCTTTGTCCTTACCCTCTCTTCCCACTCCCTTTCTTCTCCTTCATCTTATGTTCTTATAAGTCTTTCCTCCCTTTTCTGACTTAAACTTACCCCTTTCTGGGTCTTGGTTCAGCCAGTGGCACCCACACAACCGTGGTAGATCTCTTCTTGGTTGTTAGGGCCAGGGGGTTGTTGACCCACGAGCTGGAATGAGTCCAGCTTAAAAGCTGAAATATGCCAACTTGTTTTAAAAGCTGTAATTCCGGTAATATCCACTGTGTGGTGCTCACGTACCAGAAATAAATTCTAAAACTTGTTGAAAGGGAGCTCAAAAACATTGTGACCCTGTGTGGAGAGGTTAAAATCCAGAATGACAAAAATAGGGGCCATTGGAGCATGTTCACCTGCTGCACAGAGATTTGCCTGGGTTTCTCTGAGTGAGAACCTCCAGCACCGCTTTAATAATGTGCCGCGCTGGTTTCATCAGTTCCCGAATCTCAGGACGTGGGCTACTGCAGGTTTCCTGAGAGGCGGTGCAGACATCAGACAGTGTGTGATAAGCTGTGAAACAGCTGCAGAGAGAAGCTGTGCTACTGGTAACATTTGAAAACGACATCAAGACAGACAGCGGACTCTTCCCCTTATGACATGGAAGAAGTATTCTGGAAAGGAAAATCGACAGGGTTCAAAGCAACCATCTCTTTTTTCACTTTGAAGCCTGCCATTTCTGTGACCAAAGGTAGTTTTAAAGTAAACTCTTTATTATCTCTTTTAATAAAAGGTTTTTTTAATGAGCAGCTGAGCTCTCATTTAGAGCCTGAGTAATTTCCATGATTTCAGCGTTTTTACAGGCTGTGCTGGGGTTGATCGTCAGTGCCTGATGCTTATGGAACCTTTTCTTCCCTTTGCAGGTTTTCATCTCTGTGAACTGCCTCAGCACAGATTTCTCTTCTCAGAAGGGTGTGAAGGGGTTGCCTCTGAATATTCAGATTGACACCTACAGTTACAACAACCGCAGCAACAAGCCCGTGCATCGGGCCTACTGCCAGATAAAAGTCTTCTGTGACAAGGTGAGGCATCGGGTTGGATGGGGACCTTAGGGTAAAGCGTGCGAGAGAGGTTCTTCCTCACGGGAAAGGACCAGGGTCTTTTAATATTTGAGTTCAATATGAATGTATTGCCAGTAATATGAATAGCTTATTTTAAATTAGTGATTATTGTTTTAGCCATGCAAAGACACATTATATAGTGGGGAAAAAGAATCTCGTTTTAACTGAAGAATTAGAAGGGTCAGTAAATACCTTCTGTTGGGCGTGTCTGCTGGTCAGGCTGGTGCACCTTGGACGCCCAGTGGGCTGCGCTCAGTCCTGGGCGGCCCCTCAGCGTCCTGGGGTTTGTGGGCGGCGGCCAAGGTGTTGGAGCTCCTCTTGAGCCTTGTGTCTGAGGACTCCGTGTGGACGACTCTTAGAGGGCTGCCCTTCGACTGGCTCACCCCCCTGCAGGCCCTCGGGTAAGTCGTGAGCCGGCTCGCTGACGCGGGAGGTGAGATCCAGGTTCTGCTCTGCAGCAGCAGGCGGGCAAGGAGAAAGTGAAGGCCCAGGGGATTTCGGCGTCATTGCTTTTCTCTGGTATGACTACTTTTTTCCTGGAGAAGAGATGACCTCCTTCGGCAGGTGCAGAGCCAGGGGCTCAGCTGGATTAGATTCAGAGGGCACCATTGGCGCACTGTGTCTTAAAGATTGGAGACAGCGGTGTCCGTGAGAACTGGGCAGTAGCCGTAGATGAGCGAGTGGTCCGTTGAACTACGATTGAAGAAGACTCTGACTTTGTCCACTCAAAAGTATTGGACCATGTTTTTTTGCCAGTTTCCTTTTCATGCTGTTAAAAAACCTCTCAGTTAGTAAGGTTTTTAGAAGGTACTAGGAACCTGGAAGTGTATCTGCCATCAGAGGCCTGGTGTCCTAACTTCTGCACTAGGTACGCAGAGCACAGTCGGGCCCCAGGGGATGAGCATGAGACCTTCCGAGTTCAGGGAGTTCCTCACCAGCCGGCAGGTCACGTTTATCGAGCGCCTGCCGCGTGCCTGAGAACGTGCCGAGCCCTGTTAGTTTTCAGTTGTTGCTGTTAACGAATTACCACAAACCGAGTGGCTCAAAGCAACACCCACTTATTACCTTATGGTTTTGGAGGTCAGAAGTCTGATGTGGGTCCCCGGGGCTGAAATCCAGGTGTTGGAAGGCTCAGCCTTGCTGGAGGCCCTGGCCGAGAATCCCTTTCCGTGCCTTTCCTCCTTCCCGAGGCCGCCCGCGTTCCTTGGCCCGCGGCCCCTTTCATCTTCAAAGCTGGGAGTCTCCCGATGCTGCGTCCATCTCGGCTCTCCCACCGGCTCCTCTGCTTTTAGGAACGCGTGATTGTGCTGGGCTCACACAGATGATCTGGGACCGTCTCCTTGTCTGAAAGTCAACCAATTAGCAGCCTGAATTCCCCTTTGCTCTGTAAGCTGATGTATCCACAGGTTCTGGGGGTCGGGACGTGGACATCTTTGCGGGGCTGTTAGTCTGCCCTCCACAGTGCTTTCACAGATGCTGCATTTAAAAATGACGAGGCACATCTAGTGTGGGGCAGGGATTTCTGACCCTGAGTCAAATTTCTTTCCTTCACACCACTTTCCTCTTTTGAACCAAAAGAAAATCTATTGGGATGTCATGTTCTTTTTCTAAAAATCTAGGGAGAAATTATGGCTTTATTGGTTCAACTTAAAAACTTTTTTCATATCTGCTGTTTCTTAAAAATTCTGTGTCTATTTAATAATTTTGCTTGACGTTATTTAGAATTTATAAATAAGTTCCTTTTTTGAATGCTATGAAGGTGTTTATTTTTCACAAGACGTCTGCTAACCTCAGGTCGTAAACCGAGTAGAGGCTCGCTGTGCTGTGTGCTCAGGGCCAGCTGAGAGGCCCTGCGTCGGAAACAGCACTGTGGAAAGGCTCTGATGGGCAGTTCCTGCTTCGAGGCCTTTCGTCGGTGTTGAGTGCTGTCATCTCTTAGAGCAGTGTCTCAAATTATCGATGGTGAGGGACCGTGTTTTTTATTTCTAATCTGTCGTCAGCTTATACTTCCATAAAATAGAATAAAAACACAAATGAATTGCTAGAAAAAGGAACTGAAACATAAGGTAATACAAACTACAAGCCCCAGTTTTTTGTTATTTGATTTAACAGATACAAATTTCTTCTATCTCATTGCTTTCCAAATGCTGCGTCAGTTCCTGATGGATATCTCCTTGGACCATAACAGTTCGTGGAGTGATGCTGGTCCGTGGATCACACTTTGAATATTGCTCTATCGGAGGATGTGAGCATGAGTTAGCATGAACTGGAATTTACATATCAGATGGTAAAAACTGTACAAGAAATTTTGAAGAGAAGTAGTAGTATCGATTCATGCTCTTAAATATGGTTTTAATACCAAGCCTTTCGAGCGAGGCTCCTGTATTGGTAGCTGGTTTAGAAAATGAAACACAGGAAAGGTTTCATGAATTGTGCAGTTATTTTCTTAATCAGCGGTGGTACAAAGTTTAGAAACCAGTTCTCTTTCTAGGCAAGTGCGTGCTAATGTATTCTGTGAAGCAGGATTCCTTTTCTTCAAAGTTGCAAGATTGAGTGTGGTTTGGGACAACACACGAGTCCCTCTTCTGGTGTAACCGCTTGCCTGCTCTCTGTGCGTTCCGATCCCATGTGAGGGGAATATGTTATCCACGGTCTTGGACAGCACATCAGGTGTACAGGCAGCAGTCAGTCACGGTTTTTTCATTACTTGGGTGTGAGTTCTGTACAGTGGTCAAAGAAAATCACACAAAGCTGTGGTTAGAAACTAGGTGTCTGCATCTTGTGGTGCTGTGTGGCCTGTCGGATGCCCCCGTACCCTCAGCCTTCAGGGGTATGGCTTTCTTTGTAAGGCCACTGG